AAACAACCCCAACTTAAAATATCTTTCAAGTTAGAGGAATAGTTCCAGTGATCCCAAATAGTCTTATTTCCCAATGTACCAGTGCTGCTCTTAAATACAATAGTGCTCATTTAGTTAAGACAGACAGATGGAGGCCAGGTTTTTCTTTTTTGTGACAGTACTGGTGCTTGAAATCAGGGCCTGGACCTAGTACCACTAGAGCCACAGCTCCACCTGTGGAATTTTTTGTTTTTGGTAGTTATTGGATATCAGAGTTGATGGGCTTTCCTGCCTGGGCCAGCTTTGAACGTAATCCTCAGATCTCAGCCTTCTGAGTAGTTAGATTATAGGTATGAGCCATGGTAACCCAACACTTGCTCTCTCTCTCTTTCTCTCCCTTCTTCCTTCCGTCCTTCTTTATTTTCTTCCTATCTTCCACCTGTTCAGTATTGTGTGTGTTGGTGTCAGGGACATTTGTTCTTGCTTGGCTTCTTTGCTTGTAGTTGACACTTTACTGCTTAACCCTTGCTTGCCTCTAGTAAAAAAAAAATTTTTTTTGCCAGTCCCAGGGCTTGAACTTAGGGTCTGGTCATGTCTCTGAGCTTTTATTTTATTTATTTATTTATTATCATTATTTTGTTGGTCATGGGGCTTGAACTCTGGGCTGGGCGCTATCCCTGCGCTCTTCAGCTCAAGGCGAGTGCTCTACCACTTGAGCCACAGCACCACTTCCAGTTTTCTGGTGGTTTAGTGGAGATAAGAGTCTCACGGACTTTCCTGTCTGGGCTGGCTTTGAACTATGATCCTCAGATCTCAGCCTCCTCAGTAGCTAGGATTATAGGCATGAGCCACCAGTGCCCAGCTCTGAGCTTCTTTTGCTCAAGGCTAGCACTCTGCCACTTTAGCCATAGCGCCACTTCCGGCTTTTCTGTTTTTTTGGTACTGAGGAATTGAACCCAGGACTTCATGCATGCTAGGCAAGCTCTCTACCACTAAGCCACATTCCCAGCCCTAGTCCAGCATTTTGCTGGTTAATTGGAGATGGAACACCTGACTAAACCCTTTCTATTATATCTCCTTTCTTATTTTTTGGTTCAAGATGCATCTCAAGCATTATTATCTCTCTAGAGCCTTTCCTTATTTCCCTGCTTGAATCAGAATCCTGTGCTTCATTCTGTCTCATGACATTACAAGCATTGAAGCCAGTTTGTTTCCAGGCCCAAACTCCTGGAATTCCATGAATCAGGTTTGGGTACTCACCCCAAGTAAAGTGACAGTGAAGGCAGAGAAAGGTGGAATGGATACATGCCAGGAAAAAATAGCACTTTAGCTATAGGTTTTATAGAATATGTACTGGGGGCTGAGGGAGAGAGATTGGCGAAATTATTAAACCAACAGCCCTGGTCAAAGTATGTTATTTAATTATTCAGTTCTTGTTTTGGGGAGGCTTTTAGAGAGGTTGTTACTACTGTCCTTACTGGTCAGGATAATCAAGTCATTGTTGTCTGGTGGGTGGTCTATCCTGAGGAGAGTCTGTGGTTCCTTAGTAGTATTTTCGATCTCTTGTCATAAAGATGTTACTCTTCAGTTCTATCTTTTTGGGAATCCAAGGTAATTAATTGCAAAATGACTGCAGAAGGAATGGCATATAGCAAAAACTGACACAAAATAGAGGCAGGTATGCCAAGTTTTTCTCCTGTTCTTAATTCATAAGCCCATAAGCAAGTGCTCTTCAGCAAAAACACCTTTATTGTGAGGCCCTGAGGAGGTCTCTGAGAGAGGGAAAGAGAGGTCTTCGATTTATATACCACATGAGTTCTTGACTCATGGCAAAAATTCAAGGATGATGACGTGGAGGTATGCCTCAGTGGTAGGGTGCCAGCCTTGAGGGAGAAGCCTAGAGAATAAACCCCAGTAGTGGTGTGTGTGTACTTACACACACACACACACACACACACCACACAAACAAATAAGGATGAGTCAGAGACAGGCTCTGATGGTTCTTACCTGTAATCCTAGCTACTCAGAAGGCTGAGATCTGAGGATCTCAGTTTGAAGCCAGCCAGGTAGGAAAGTCTGGGAGACTCTTCTCTCCAATTAACTACCAAAAAGCTGAAAGTGCTAAAAAGGTTCAAGTGCTCAAGTGGTAGAGTACTAGTCAAGTAAAAAGCTAAGGGACAGGCCCTGAATCCAAACCCCAATACCAGCAAAACACACACACACACTGCCACCACCACCACTACCACCACCACCACAACCACCACAACTAACACCACTTTTTTTGTTGTTGTTGTTGACCGTGGGGCTTGGCTTGAACTCTGGTCCTGGGTGCTGTTCCTCAGCTCTTCAGGTCAGGGCTAGAACTCTACCACTTGAGCCACAGCGCCACTTCTGGTTTTCTGGTGGTTTATTGGAGATAAGAATCTCAGGGTCTTTCCTGACCCGGCTGTCTTTGAACTGTGATCCTCAGATCTCAGGCTCCTGAGTAGCTAGGATAACAGGCTTGAGCCACTGGTACCTGGCCACCATTTTTTTTGTTGTTGTTAGCCAATATTTGGGTTTGAACTCAGGACCTTGAGCTCTTGCTTAGCTCAAGCTCTTCTTTCTGGTTTATTATTTTAGCCATACCTCCACTTATGGCTTTTTGCTGGGTAATTGGAGATAAGAATCTAAGGGATTTTTCTGCCTGATTTTATGATTCTCATATCTCAGCCTCCTGAGTAGCTAGGATTATAGGCATGAGTCACTGGTGCCTGGCATAGTTTTGTCTTTAAGGAATATATTCATTTTGGGCCACATTCTTTTTTTTTGGGGGGGGGTCTGATCGTGGGGGCTGAACTCTGGGCCTGGGCGCTGTCCCTCAGCTCTTCAGCTCAAGGCTAGTGCTCTATCAGTTGAGCTACAGCAGCACTTCCGGATTTTTTCTTTTTGCTTATGTGGTGCTGAGGAATGGAACCCAGGGCCTCATGCATGCAAGGCAAGCGCTCTACCACTGAGCCACCTTCCCAGCCCGTTGGGCCACATTCTTGAGATTCTATGTTTTATTTCTTTGTACTGATCATTTGGCTAATCAGTCTCACTGTACTCTTATTGTCCTATTTGTTCCTTACACTATGTGAGTCAATGAGAGGGTGAAAGGGCCAAACTAGATGTCACATAATTATTCAGTCACTCTACGGAGACACTATGTACAGTGACACTATGTTGTTAATGACAATATATTATTTTCTTTTAAGGTTGAGTGTATTAATGGGCTATTTGCAGTTTTCTGTGGAGTTTGTGACGTTTCAGTACTATGTAATAGCAAAAAGTAGGAGATACATTTCAGCATTTTACTTATTACCCTTATCTCTTATTTTCCCTATCTCAGTTCCTTGTCTTTCTCCTTCATTCCCTCCTTATCCATGATCCTTTTTGTTTTGGTCTGTGTGGCTTGAACTCAAGGCCTGGGCACTGTATTTGACCTTTTTGGGTGTGAGCTAGCACTCTACCACTCTGAACCACTTCTAGTTTTCTGGTCATTTGGAGATAAGAATCTCCTGGACTTTCCTGATGAGGCTGGCTTTGAACTACAAACCTCAGATCTCAGCCTCCTGAATAACTAGGATTACAGGTGAGTGCCACCAGTGCTGCATTCTGTTATCTCTTTAAGGACTTGAACTATGTTTCTATTTTTAAAAAGCTCTATTTCTTACCCTGGCAGAGTACCTACCACAAAATTGGTTTTAGATAAACGTTTGTTGTTAGTAAATGGTATTATGTTCTACTAATCCAAAATACAACATTGTTTTCCCAATCTAGCACTAGAAAAACAAAGGAAAGTAGACAAATCCTATCAATCAGTTTGCCTACCCCATAGAACTTCCTTGGACACTTCCTAAACTACTTAAGTAGTATGACTTAAGCCTCTTTTCTGCAGGTTAATGAAACTGTTCTGTTCAATCATGTCATAACCAAGAAAATTCAGGTCTATTTTCATTATGAGGTATTCACATCCTTCGAGGCTGGTTATTAGTGGTGGATAAAGTGTCTTGGGGAGGGTGTGGTGTGCAAATTAGTATAAGAAGTTTCCATCAGTTTTTTCTGGAATATATACTGCTTACCACACATAATGCTTATGCTCATTCCCAGTGCATGAAGTGGAACTTTGATGCCATTTGATTTTTACCCAAATTTCTCCTAGTCTTCATTTTGTCAGCTCTATAATCAGGAAAAACTTTGACCCAATAAACAGAACTTGTGAATTTGCATTTGTATATGTGTGTGTGATTTTATTTTAGAGTGAACATATATTTGTACTACGTTGTGTCCACTTTGTGAACTCGTGAATTTTTTGAACATTCTTCCTATGCAACAGCAGAGTTTTTCTTATTGTGTAGCTTTAGTTTTTTCTTTCCAAGTTGGATGACAAATTCTGATTTTCAGAGTCAGCTTTCACGCGTCTGCCGGCAGGCATGGAGGGAGGGGGCAGTAATAAAGGCGATCTGAAGATTCTTCATGGAGCTCTGTGGCTAAGCTTAGCAGAAAGAACCCTGTCTCGCGTTGCGTAAGAAGCAAGGTTTCAGCCTGCCTTCTTTTTAAGCTTACTGTACGGCAGATACAGTAGATGTCACTTCATATCCCTAAGAAAGTGCTGCTTGAAGTTCCAACTGCCAGCCCTGCGCCCTCGTCGGCCTCATCCTTTGTCGGCCGGCTGTTCCTTGCCCCATCCAGGTCACCTAGGAGGGTGTGGATGTCGGGTACTGGGGCTAGGCTTGGGCACCAAGTCCCACCACGGAACTAATCCTACGCCCAGCCGTCGGGCCAAGCCAGCCATCCTGGTCTGGCCGCCCAGACTGCGACCCGGCAACCACCGAGCTGACAGCCCAGAGCGTCACCACCCGGGCCGCCGCGCGCCGGCGTCACGCAGGGGCGGGGCCTGATGGTGGGCTGGGGCGGGGGGGGGTGGGAGCTGGGACTAGGAGGGCTGCCTGTCCTTGGAGCGCCCCACAGTGGCCAGAGCCGGCAGCGCCCTCGTCCGCCCTGCGGTGCTGGAGCCCTGACGCACGGAGATCGAGAGAGAAAGGGGCAGAAATGGCGGCTCCGCTCGGCTCCTGCTGAGGAGGGTGAAGCCGGCGGACGGTCTGTGCTGCCAGCCTGCAACATCGCTCCCGCCTGCCATTCCCTGCCTTCTCGTGCCGCCTTCCTTTCCGCTGCCCTGCTCTCGCCCGTCCTCGTCTGCATTCCGGCTTGTCCGGGCCGGCTCGTTCCTCCCGGCCCGGCTCGGCTCCCCTGGCCCCGAGCGCCCGGCCGGCGGGCGGGCCAGCCTTCCTCGGCGCTCCCCGGAGCGGCAGCCGCGGCGTGGGCCCCGGCCCCCGGGCTGGACCATGGTGAACACCCGGAAGAGCTCGCTGCGCCTTCTCGGGTCTAAGTCTCCTGGGCCCGGGCCTGGGCCTGGGGCCGGAGCGGAGCCTGGGGCGGCCGGAGGCAGCAGCCATTTCATCTCCTCTCGGACCCGCTCCTCCAAGACCCGCGCTGCCAGCTGCCCGGCTGCCAAGGCCGGGGGAAACGGAGGCGCCGGCGTGGCTCTGGATGAGGCCCGGGTAAGAGCGCGGCGCCCCGCGTCCCGGTGCCTGCAGGCGCCGGCCGGGCCGCCCTGGCTTTGTCTGGCGGGGTTGGGGGGCAGGAAGCCTCCGGCCGAGACCGCCGGTGGCCGGGCCCCGGCCCGCGGGTGCGGCGCAGGGCAGCGCCGAGGAAGGGCCGCCCCGCGAGCCCTTTTGCTTTGCCGGCCCGGTTCTTTTGTGTGAAGAACAGCCCTGGAGCCCGGGGGAGAGGGGTCTGGGGGTTCTTTTCCGGGCAGGGGCCGGCCCGCGTCCCGCGTCCCGCGTCCCGCGTCCCGGCGGTGCTTCGCCGGGGGAGTGTGGAGGGGAGCCCGAGCGGCGGGCCCGAGGTCCCGGTGGAGGGGTTGCGGGGAGAGAAGTGAAAGTTTTCCGGCGTGTCAAACCCTTGAAAGTGTGTCAGCCTGTGCCGCTGCCGAACTCCAGCTTACTCTGAGTTTGGGGGTGGTTCAAGTTGGTGAGGAAGTGAACGGAGCTCCAGCTGGCAGCCAGGCAGAGAGGCTGAAAAAGTTTCCTAGCTGCTCTGGCACGAACTTTAAAAACAAAACGCTTTCGTCTCTCCAGACAAGACGTCCTCCGTGGTACCGGGTGGCTCGGGAGCAGCCGGCCGGCTCCCCACGGCCCTGGGAGGGGCTGCAGGGTTTCTGGTCACTCGTTCTCGGGTGGGTAGCGGGGGCACCCGAGCCCCTAGTTAGAGTTTCTGGGGGCATTGTTTACAGAGGGTGAATTAGCATACCGTTGCGAAAGGGACGTGTGAAGACCGAGGCGGCGTTTTAGTTCTTAAAAAAAATCACTTTAAAAATAGAATTTTGAAATAATTTTTGAAAGGCCTTTTGAAAAGATGTTGAACATTTTCTACGGTGGAAAATGCGAAGCTGGCACTAGAGATGTGTCACCTTAAAGTTACTGGCAAGTTTGTGGTGTTCTGAGATGGGTTGTGAATTCAGAGGAGACTATTGCTTCTGTCTTAAGAAAGAAGCTAAGTAAGCAATTTGGCCGACTGGATGGTGGTTTTCATTTAAAGGATTCATTTAAATCTACATCATTTTGTTATGGGGATAGTGGTTAATGTTCCTTAGGAGTACACAAGATTAGTTTGTGTGTGTTTTTCTGTGTCTCATAATACTTTGACACCAATCAGAATGATTCTTGGTAAATACAATAAATACTCTACCGTACTTTGAAATACGTTATTTGTATGTTTGGAAATAGTTTTTGTTCGCTAAAAATCTGCAAAGGACTTTTAAAGGTACCTTACTTAGTAAATATTTTAGGATCTTACCCATCTCTTAGACTGAAATAAAGCAAAATCTGTAAGTTGATGAAATTATTCAGAATATATACTCTAAAGAGTAGATTGTCCTTAGAAACTATTCTAAACATGTACAAGTTTCTTGACTTACTGATGTTATCATATGTAAAATATTCTTAGAAAAGTGCAAATATTTAGAGTGCAAGCATATAATTGTATCATGGTATGAATGCCCAGTCTGTTAGAGCTCATCTGAAGCAATTAGCTCATTTCTCACTGATTAGTTTGTGGTTCCATTTTTGAATTCATGGATATCATGCTGTCCTCAGCCCCTTGAGGAATAAGGTGAGGTAATTTGTCAAGCAGCTGTTATGGAGATGTTAAAAGACACAGAATCAATAATCTAATGTGGAAATGAACATTTAGTAGCTTTTAGATTGCTAAAAGAATGGAAGATATTAGAGCTCTTTCTAGAAGCACACTATGGAAACATTATTTTATGAAAGATATTAGAGCTCTTTCTAGAAGCACACTAATGAAACATTGTTTTATGAACCGCTTTAAAATGTTTTAAAAGACTGTAAATAACAGGTTATTGAAGATTTACCCTGAAATAGGTACTTTTCAGTCTTAAAAAAGGATTTGTTGTAGCTTTAGTAGGTGATGGAATGACCTTACTTTTTCTGAGGGATTTTAAGACTTTCTAATCTTATATTGTGTTTGAACTATGAAAGAAGATAAATTTGAGTTTATTAAGTTTATAGAATTTGATGAAGTGGTTTATTTTTTGCTGTATCTTACTGAAGTAGTTTGATTTGAGTCTGGTTTTCTCTGTGTTTGGTTTTTATGTTGCAGGAATTTAGGATTCCTTGCTTTCACCCTTTTGGCGTACTTAAAGGTACCTGTTATTCGATGTGGCCTTTAGTAGACATTTGTCCATATCTGTAAAGTCTTAATTGTTGGAAAATGAAGTTACTCAGGCTGTTGCTTTAGTTCTGTTTGCAGTAGGAAATGTTTTCCTCTTTGTAAGATTGATTATTAGGGAGTCTCCCCTTTTCTGCTTTTCTCTTCTTTACTAACTGCACTTTATGCAGTTTTTCTTTCTTCTCTGTTTTTAAATGATTTTATTCACTGTGTTTAGATACATTTTAATTTCCTCTAAAAAGCCATAGCACCACGAGCTGTTTATATTTTGCTTTTTTCTCCAAGTGATTCTCCTGTGCCCCTCCTTTCTTCAGCAAGAAAGTTTTTATTTATTTTTTCTTACTTTTTTTTGCCAGTCATGGGGCTTGAACTTTGGGGCTCAGTGCTGTCCCTGAGCTTTTCAGCTCAAGGCAAGCCCTCTACCACTAGAGCCACATTGCCACTTCCTTTTTTTTTTTTTTCTAATTTTTGATATGTAAAAATGCTATTCTGGCCAGGTGCTGGTGACTCACGCCTCTAATCCTACCTACTGAGATCTGAGAATCACCTGTCAAAGCCAACCTGGGCAGGAAAGTCCATGAGACTCTTTATCTCCAGTGGTGCTGTTCTTAATGTAGACAATTTTATGAGTTTGGGGATAAATACACATCTGTGAACCCTTTACCACCATTGAAACCAGTCATGGTCATCATCCTATCATATTCCTGCCTCCTTTACTACTGTAATTGATTTGTGGATCTGTATACATTGTATTGGTCTATCTATCTACATATACAGACATATTTATACCTAAATCTATGTATATACACTTTTTGTGGTAAGAATTTTTTTTAATAAGATCTGCCTTTTAGAAATTTTTATAGTATTCTTAGGTGTAGGCATTATGCTACATAGTTGTATTTTTACCAGAATTATTTATATGACATCAGTAAAACATTTGTACCTTTGACCACTGCCTCCTCATTTCCTTCTTCCTTACCTCCTGGAAGTCTACCCTCTGTTTTTTTTGGGTTTGGCTATTTTTGGTTCTACATATAAATGAGTTCATACGGTGTATATCTCTTTGTGTGTAGCTTAGTTTAACTGAATATAATGTCTTTTAGGCCCCTCCATGTTGTTGTAAATAGTAGGCTTTCCTTCTTTTTAAGGGTTGAATAGTATTCCATTGCACACACATTGAAAACTCACGCCACATTTTCTTTATCCTTGTATCTGAACTGTGGTATATAGATTGTCTTAATGTGTTAGTTATTATGCATAATGCTATAGTGGGCAATGGGTATGTGTATATCTCTTTGAAACACTGTGTTTGGCTTCTTTGAATAAATAACAGAGAAGTGGGACTGCTGAGTCATGTGGTAAACTCATTTTTATTATTTTGAGAACTGCCCTTCTCATAGTGTTTGTCTGGTAGCCATGCTTTTGCCTCCCATGGATGTGTACTGGGGTCTTTTTCGTCATAACCATACCAACACTTTTTTTCCTTTAAATTTGTAACAGCCATTCTAACTGGAGTGAGATAATCTCATTTTAAAAATTTGCCTTTAAGCAATAACTGTAAGACTGAGCAGTTTTAAAAACATCTGTTGATATTTGTATCTCCCCCCCGCTTTTTTTTGGGGGGGCACTATCGCTGAGCTTCTTTTGCTCAAGGCTAACACTCTACCACTTGAGCCACAGCACCACTGTGAGCTGATATACAGCAGGATTAGCTTCACGTACTTCTGGATGTCTTCTGAGAATTATCTATTCAGGACTTCTGCCTTGTGTGTGTATGTGTGTGCATGTGCATATGCATGTGTATTAGCCAGTACTGGAGCTTTAACTCATTGGCACTGTCCCTTAGCATTTTGGCTCACAGCTGGTGCTCTACCATTTGAGACACAACTCCATTCCTGGCTTTTTGCTGGTTAATTGGAGATAATAGTCTCAAATAATTTCCTGCCTGGGCTGGCTTTGAACTGTGATTCTTAGATCTGAGCTTCCTGAGTAGCTAGGATTATTGGTAGGAGCCCAGCTTATTTTGCCATTTTCATTTTTCAATTGGATTTTGTTTCGCCTTTGCTGGCCTGGGTAATGCCCCTGAGATTTTTTGCTCCAGGCTAGCACTCTACCACTTGAACCACAACTGCACTTGCACTTCTGGCTTTTTGGTAGTTAATTGGAGGTAAGAGTCTCACAGACTTTACTGCCCGAACTGACTTCATTGGAACTAGGATCCTCACATCAAAGACTCCTGAGCAGTTAGGATTAAAGGTGTGAGCCAATGGTGCTCAGTCCTTGCTGATTGTTTATTAATACCAAGAAACAAGCTTTGGTCTTGGGATAGTTAAGACATTTTAGGACATTTTGCATGCTTGCATTTCAGGATTTGGTAGAATACTGTTGGCTCTAAGGAAATAAATGGCAGTCCCAGTGAGTTTTGTTTTCTGTAGCCATGGTAATCACTACTTCTGAGATTTCTCATGAATCCTAGAATGTCTGTTAAAAAAAAAGCAAAGAGTAAAGGATTGTCTTACTAAGGAAATTGATAAAGATTGATTGTACTCTTAGACTTTCTGATATAAGTGTGAGGAAATGTTTATTATTCTGTTTTTCCTTTTTACTGTATGTGGATCAGTTATCTGACTCTTTAAAGAACTCTTTAAAGAGCCAAGATCATCTTATCCTTTTAAAAGAGACTGTCATTTTTTTCTGACCGTCGTGGAGCCTGAACTCTGGGCCTGGGCTCTTCAGCTCAATGCTAACCTAGCACTCTACCACTTAAGCTACAGCACCACTTCTGCCTTTTTCTGCTTCTGTGGTGCTG